TAGCACAAAATGGTTGTTCACAAATACTCTGCCAGAACAGACTTGTTTGATACTGAACATTTATTACACTCCTGTTTCCAGAACTTTGCTGAGTAGAAAGGGCATCATTTGGCAAAGCCAACAAAGCTTACACCCAACCTGTGACTATTCCAAGAGAATTGTTCATGAGCAATCCTGAGACTAATATTTATTTTCATTCATTACTGTCTAATAATTAAAACCAGTTCTCACTGCTGTAGAAAACAGGATGGGGCTGACTGACAAGGAAGAGGTGAGCTGGGTGAGTGAGGTTTCAGTTCTGTGCTCAGGGCAGGCTGCAGGAGCAGCAGCAGAGCTTGGCAGAGCTCTGAATGTCCCAGATTCCGAGTATGGGATTTCTTAAAACCAATCTTGTTTTAACTCTTTGCTCTCCTTCCTCACAGAATAAATGCAAGGAGACTGTAAAGGAAGATTCTTGGTGGATGGGATGCAAGGCTGCTCTATTTAGGAAAACTGCTAGCTTATTTAACAATGCCAGTTTCTCAGAGGGATGGAGCCCCTCCATCCTTGCAGATATGTGGGATCTGACAGAGGGTGGCCTCCAGCAGATTGTTCAGGATGGGCTGAGGTGAGACCTGGGACCACCAGGGGCTGCTTACAGCCTGAACTGCTCAAAAAAAAAAAAAAAAAAAGCTCATGAAATGCACTAGCCAAAGCCTGATCTGTATCCTGCCTGTAAATAAGTTTCCTCCACCCAGGGAAAGCCTGTGACAGGTCTGTGACACAGTGTCTGTCTGTCATGAGACCAAAAGGAAGTCGCTGTAATTGCGCACAGATGGATCTTCCACTCCCTTGCAGACAATGCCATCAAAAGTCTCAAAACTTGGAACGATCCAGCATTGCCAAGTATGGTTTCCCTGTGAGCACATCCCCTTTCCAAGGGAGCCATCCTGATGTCACAGAGGTCTGCCCCAGGCAAGCTTTGCCCCATGTCCAACCCCTCCTGCCCTTGGGCAGCAGCCAAATGTGAGTTTGGTGGCCAAGGAACCCTCCACAGTCACATCCCTTGTCACCTCACCTCCCCAGTAATACAAACAGACATTTGTTCACACCAAACTGAGCAAATCTAATATTTATTTCACATTTAGGTCACAGGACATCAAAACAAATACTTTTACCCCAAACAGATTTCCTGACCTTGTGGTTTCATTCGTGATTTGCAGTAATATTTGTCCAAAGAGATGTCTTGCTCTCACTTAAAAATGAAAGGAAAAGAAGTTATATGGGGTCCTGCACTCAGCTTTAAGGTGCACAATTGCCTGTGCACCCAAATCACCTCTGGATGCCACTCTTGATTTCACTGGAATCAGGACAAGATCATTAAACTCATATTTCCTGCATTTGTTCACTCCTTTTCATCCCTGAAAACCAAAATTATTTAAATACAAAAGTCCAAAAACCCTAAACGCAAAGCATTAAAAATTGTATTTAACAATCTTGGCCCAAACAGTGGCTGTGGGGCCCCTATCAAATCTGAGACAATCCCATTGCTTGTAAAGATGCTTTTTTTTACAGATTCTGTTTTTCCTTTTCAGCCCTCCTGGGCCAAGGATCACATTAACACTGCTCCTTTGAAAGCTCTGAAGGGCTGTGTACATGGAAAATTGACCTTTTTTCCAGTTAAGTTTGAACTAGTTTTAAGGCAGAAACTGCTGAAGAGAGAATTTCAAAAGCTTAAGAAATCTAGTGGTCCCTTATGGCTTGCAGTAATGAGTAAGATAAAATGCTCTTTCTGGTTTCCTTCCCCCTGTAATTGAAATAGTTGCTGTACTGGGGCTGCAAAACTGCTGCCCAATTATCGCCCAGCTAGGCTGATTTACATCTCCTGCTCAGCTTCAGCATGGTGGGAAATGCTCAGGAGGGCCAGTGTAAATATATTTATGTCCTGGTGGGATGTGCTGAGCTCCTAATATCAGGATAATAATGTAGACATATATGTGCATATATGTCTAAAGATCCAGCTAGGCAAACTTTCCCTGTGAGGGCACAAAGAGCTGAGGCACAGCACAGCTACCTGGCTGGGAAACACCTGGCTTGGATTTTAATTGCACTGTGGATGTGATCCTCTTTAATGGCACATCCAAGCCTCCCTTTGGAGGGTTTGAGCACCAGGGCACTGCCTGAACTATTGGTCAAGTAAACACAGACTCGTCCCAGTCTCATTAGGGTCATTTCTCACATTGGCTTGGCTGGGGGAGGTGGAGAGGACAGGCAGCTGCTGGTGCTGCCCTTCAGGGCACCTCTGCCACCCCAAAGAGCCCTTCCAAATGAGTTGGCTTTGCAGAGCCACGCAATATTTCACAGGTAAATGACAGACTGCCCACGTGGCTGTGGGTGGGAGGAGAAGGAGGCTGTGGCCACCACATGAAGCCCCACTGGCACAATTCCTGGTGTGTTTGAAGAGTCCAATACCAAATCCCGCAGGATCCCCACTCTGCATTTCAATTTCATCAGTGTAAACTCCTCAGAGCTGTGCAATAGGAATGCCATCACATATCAGACATTTCAGGAAGTCTCTGTAATTTCTTTAATTATTCAGACAACAGAGCACAAGGATAATAGCTTCAAGTACATTCTTATACATTATTTTGACAGTAATAGATATGTATTTAGTCATAAACTATTCTGTAGCCACCACTATGTGTACATTTTATACAAACTATTGCCATACTCGGACCCTGAAAACAGACAGTGACATCTCCTAGATGTTTTGCACAAGGTTATGACAGTACATCCTTCATACAAGAGCTGTGGCTGTGGGTTGGATTGACCCATCTAAGGAAGCACTTCTAACACACCACAGAGGGGTGATCCTGATGAGAGGAGCCAGAGGGAGAGGTGGAATTCAGACACGGTGAGAGGAAGACATAAAACTGCTTGGAGTAGGTGTGACAGGAAATGTGGCACAGCATTTCTCTGCTCAGTGAAACAGGCTGATCCCAGTGTAAGAGCATCTAAGCTTCTCTCACACCACAAAGATCTGAGCTCATCTCGGCCTTTGGGTTAAGATTAAATGAGGCAATGTCTGGTGTGGTCCCATCCAGGCATGTGCCCTGCCCTGACACAAGTGTGGGCTCTCGTCTGATGGCTCTTAAACATCTCAGTTGCAATTTAGATTGAAGCCCTCCAGCCAGTGGCTTTAAGTTTGATCATTGACATCCCTAAACACCTCCACCACCCAACCTCTGGAGAAGGCACCTTCCAACATGGTCATTTCTTTGAGTGTAGAGGCCTTTTAAAATGGCTACCACCTCTTAGAGACAGGGTAAGAGAGCTCAGACACCCAGACGCTGCCAAACTAAGGCCAGACTCTTACAGCAGAGACTCATTTGTTCCACGGTCACATTCTCACATGCCCCAAATCATCTGGGTTTGCAGCCCTCAGCACACCCCAAAGACAGGGAGGTGACAGAGTCCAAGCTGGGGTGGGCAGCAGGTCCTCAGCACCCACCAGGCAGTCCACAGTCCCCCGTGATGCCTCTCGTTGGGCAGGCATGAGGGTGGCTTGGTTCCTCTCCTGGTGCTGCAGCACACTGTGGTCACTCCAAAGGCTCATCACCTTGGCCATGTCCAAGCTTTGGAGGTTGGAAGTGGGGCTGGACTAGAAGTTGACAGGAAGGAGAAACCACATCCATCTGTCAGGGCTTCACACAGCAGTGCTCGTGTGTGGAACTCGGCCTCCAGCTCCTGACTGTGCTCCAGAAGCTCCTGGGATTTCAGCGTGGAAGGGCATGGTCGACACTCTCTGGAGATGGCCCCAGGCAGGGACGTTCTGGGAGGCTGTGGAGCTGCCATCCATCCCAGCAGAGAACATGGCTGTGTCTGGAGCAAAAGGCCTGGTGGGTGAACATCCTAGACTGGCAAGTAATGGAAACCAAAGAAAAGGTGAGAAGACATTCAAGGCAAGCTCCCTTCTGGCACGGTCCCGTCGCAGACGCGCACACACATGCACACACAATGTTTTGCAAAATTTTTAAAGGGATCCTGGAAACCCTCAATGGAGGAGCACGTGGTGCAGCAGAACCTCACTGATCAGCACCTGTCAAGGATGATCCCCTCAGGGTGGGTTGGGGCTGGGACCAGGCAGGGGATGCAACACTGGCCCCACCACTCAGCTCCTAAAGCACATCTCCAGCACATTCACCCATGGGTGGCTGGGGACAGACTCCTGCATTACAGCTAAGGAAAGTCTCTCAGCATAAATGAACAAATCTTTATCCTTTTGTTTGTTTTGCAAAGGGTGCTTTGCTCTGTTGTCAGTGGCCGCAAACTCTGTGCTGTTACTCAAAGCAGCCAGTGAAATCTGGTGGATCTCATGATCCTTCTTCCAGCATCAGCCACCTGAATCCCTCTAACTCACCAAAGTCAATGTCTCTCCCTCAGATTTCCATCTTCTGGGCACCCAGATTGAAGCCCACTGAAACCCCAGGGGTTGACACAAGGAGAAGGCAGCTGCCTGCCTTCACATTAATGCACTTCAAAGGGAAAACTTGATTTAGCATACTCAGAAATCAATTTTCAGAGCCATCTACAGTCTCCATTCCAGACTGGGAAGTGAGCATGGAGTCAGGGCTGCAGCTGGAAGAGAGGAGCATTGCCTGAGCAGGGGTGGGGAGCCAGGGCTCTGGCAAAGGGAAACGAAACCCGTCTGCTGGTCACTCGTGCAAATAAGTGAGGTTCTACTGTCAGTACAAGAGATTCCAGGTTATGCACAGATGTGATGGATTCGTTTCCTTAATTAAAGTACCAAAATTAAATGTTATAAGCAACACATCTAAATAAAATAAAGGGCACTCATTTAGGTATCATGTTTCCTAAACCAACAAGCAAAAAGGAAAAAAAAAATGGGATGCACCAGGAACTCTTAGTTATTATATACTAACCAAACTGTGCATGGCACATTTTATTTCTATAAAACTATTAAAACTATTACAAAATATTCAAAAATACATTTTAGTAAATTTACAGCAGTTATTTCTCAATTTATTAATGCAAAACATCCTTTTCCCCCCTCTGTACAAACTACCATCTCCATCGTCACAGAATTGCCGCCATGTGCGCTTTTTAAAAAATATTATTTTCTAATAAACTTTTTCTGAAGTTAAAAATAACAAAGTTTCTTACGGTTTTTGCAAATAAAAAGTTTGTGTAACAGTCTCGACTTCCATGAACTTCCATGAACGTGGCCAAATGATGTTTTTTACAAAGCAAAACATGGAAAACAATACAGGAAATGATGTTACATTTGCAACTATTTAAATTAAAATAATATATTCTCATATTTTACACTATTTCAAAAAACGAAATGTGATTCAGTTAAGTATTGATCTCTCAAAAAAATCTAATTTACAATTCTGTGTATAAAAATATAATTTACGGACCCCCATGAAGTTTGTCTTTTTTGTGTGTGTTTGTTTGCTTGTTTTTTAGACTTGCTGAAATGAAAGAGCAATGTAATGGAGAGATGGGAAAGTACAGAATTTTGCTTTCTGAAAGTCAGGACACACGTGACATGTAGAAAAATAGACTCTGCGCAGTTTTGCTTGGCCTCACAAAATAATTTTTTTTCTCCTGTGAGTACAGTTCACATGATAATAAATTATCAAAGAAACTATTTAAGGCTCTTGAAGGTCCGGTTCATATCATTTAAAACATCTATTCAAAATACCAAAGAAATAAATATCCAGGAGAGGAGGAAAAAAAAAAAAACCAAACAACAAACAAAATAAAAGAACAAATAAAAATATATATATATTTATAAACTAAACAGAACAGAACTTCCAGGGGTCTTTGTTTCCCTTTAAGTCTACTTTGGACTGTCCTACTTAATTATTATTATTTTATTATTATTATTTTTAAGTCTTAATCCGTGCTCTTTTTTAAAAATATGTAATTTTTCCTTTTTTTTTTTCTTTTAGCGTTTTCTTTTCTTTTTTTTTTTCTCTTTTTTTTTCTCTCCTTTCTCTCTCTCTCTCTCTCCCTCCGTGTCTCTGTCTCTCCGTTGGAGCCTGGCGGGCTGGCGTGGGGTGCCCTCAGCTGGACGATGCCATCATGCCCAGCGGGTGCAGAGAGTCACTATCCAGCACCCAGCTGCCGATGCGGTAGAGGAGCCGAGAGTACCAGTGGATGCCGGGGGCCGTGGGGTCTCCCATGGGGCACCCCATCCCGGCTGGACAGAGGGCAGCCAGCAGGGCCTGCAGCAGGCGGAAGGGAGCGAAGGCCCAGTGCGCCCAGCTGTGCTCCTCGATGACGGCGTAGCACGAGGCCAGCACGCGGTCAATGAGGATGGTGCCCTGGGCGGTGAGCGGCGCGTAGGCTCCCGACGCCTCCTCCCGCAGCGACACGCGGTGCACGGCCGCCGGCAGCAGCCGCCGCCCGCCCTCACCCAGCACGAAGACGCGCTGGCCCGGCCGCACGCGGCTGGCGAACAGCGCCCGGCCGCCGGTGCTCCCAGCCTCCGACTGGTTCTGCTGGGGGGCCACGAACAGGAGGTGGGCGGCCGTCAGCAGCAGCTGGGCCCGGGGCTGCCGCGTCTCGATGACGTAGAAGAGCTTGTGGGAGCCGTCCTCGCGGTCCAGGAAGGTGAGGAAGTCGCTGTAGAGCAGACGGCCTTCGGTGTCGGCCACCAGCACCCGGTCTCCAGGCCTCAGGTCCTTCACCAGCTTGGTCCCACCTTTCTCCAGGTGCACCGTGGCCGAGCCGGGGAAGCAACCACCGGATTTGGCCGCCACTGAGTTTTCTGTGCAAGGAGAGAGGCACAGCAGGGTTAGAGGAGGCACATATATATTTTTTTTCCTTTTTTTTTTCTTGCCCAGGATGGGGCATGGGAGCATGCAGGAACTTATTGCTTCCCCAGACACCCCAACCCACCAAGAAAGCTCAGGACACAACCTCTGAAATTCCTTCACCCTTATCTATGAGCACGCCCCATTTGTACTCAGTGGGTCAAGTGAGAATCCCCTTCCTGCCAGATTTGAGCCAGTGCAAAATCTCCTCTAGGTTAGGAGTTACAAGAGTGATTTGTCTCATAAGGGAAATGAGCCAAAATATTTCCACTGAGAAAACTGTTCCAGAACAAAGTCTCTTCTGGAAGAACTTCCCATTTGGCTACTGTTTACCCTGCACTGACACCTGATGCCAGATAACTTGCAGGCTTTCAAAGCCGAGTCATTTTGCTGGTGTAAAGTTTCTTCTCTAAGCAAGTGCCTGTGCTCTCGATGCTAAGGGTCCCCACTCAGCTCTTACTCAAGGAGCACATCTAGGGCAGCAAACAGCAAAGAACAGGAGGAGACTTTGCCCCAGGTTGCACACAAATTTTGCCACTGCAAAGCCACAACCCAAATTTCCCAAATCCCCCTGCATAGTGCTGCACAAGCCCCCGTGCTGCCTCCAGCCTTCCTCAGCATGGTGGCTACTGGGGCACATCTCACACTCACAGCACCTTGCCTGGCATCTCCAGCACTCTGCTTCAATCCTCTCCCAAAAAGAAATAAATCTCTCCCTCCCTCCTAGGAGAAGCATGCTCTTCCCTGCTTCAGAGTGTGTGGTCCCAGAGCAGCCCAACACTGTGCCAGGCCCAAGCAAATGCCTCCTCCTGAGTAACTCTTGGGAGTTACTCAGAGTTTAGAGCAGCTTTTGCTGCTTTCCTGTGCTACTGAGAGGAACAATCTCAGACTTAAAGAAAGCAAAAGTATCAATGAAGCTCTGTCTCTCTTGTAAATCACTTTTTGGAAGTTCAGCCACCTGTGGAGTGGTGGGAAAAGAAGTCTGCTGTGCTCCAGGCTGATCTCTGTCTTAACAGAGGGACTTGCAGTGTTCCTAACCACTCTGGTTTTTTTAAATATTGGTTAATATCCCACAGTATGTCATGGTAGCAAGTGTTGAGATTCCCCATCCCTTCCTTGCCTTTCCCTGCTTTCTCTCAGTTACTCCCTATACCAGTCAGGAGACCTGCAGATTTAGATCCTAAAGATGGACAGATTTTATATTTTGTCTCTGTGACTGCTACTGAAATTCCTAGGATTTAAACAAATCCTTGGAGTGTCTCCTAATGACTTTCTCAGGAAGGACAGGAAGGGTGAAAATTAGACCGTTATTGATTTGCTAATGACTTTATCACTTCTCCTTCAGAAATGAAGAAGCAAGATCTCCAAGGCCTCCCTCTTCAGGGAGGACATGGCAACAAACAAGCTATGTGCTTTATGTGGAGGCCTCTGCTAGTAAACTACACCTTCCTACAAGCTGGCAGTAAAGGTCTGGCTAGAGCTTTGTTTGCATATTCAGGGACTTGATGAATAGATGTAGTAGTGTAGCAGCTCTACAAACATGCCAGTGAATTGGCAGAGGTGTGAAAATCTGCTTCTTTGAGCAGCGCTTGTTTGGGTTCTCTAATTAAAATCCAATAAAGGATCAGCATTGTCATTCTGATTCATGTAATAAATGCAGACACTCTTGGAAGAGAGGACACTTCCATTTTTTTCCCAGCTTCTTCCCCCCCTTTTCTCCCCCTCCCTATTTGTTCAGGTGCAGAAACCCTATGTGCCAATTCACACACATACTCTCCAAAAACCCAGGACCTTCCAAGCACTATTTGCACAGCAGAGCCACTTTTCCAAGGCACTCAAGATCTGTATTTGAATTTTAAATGTAGAAGCTTGCTCTAAATACTTGCTGTAGCGCATTATCAATGTCCCTTTTACCACCCCTGCCTCTCCCTCCTCTGTTCTGGTGACAATAATTCAGGCCTTGGGGGAACTCTTCTTTGCATTCCAGTCTCCTGGATCATACTTTTTGCAAACAGAGATCTAGATAAAGAATCTTCCTGCTGGCATTATGGGATTTAATCTTCTCATGAGATGCTCTGTCATGAAATGAGGTTTGGACAGTTTAAGATCAGGCTGAGAGAGTGGAATTCAAGCCTGCTCCCTTCAGCCTGCCTCGTACAGTCACACGACCCTGCCTGACACCCTCCAAATATTGCCCCCGAGTCCTTGTGTGCCGAATCTCAATGAGCAGCTTGGGGTGGCTCCTGTCCTGTGAAACACCCCTGGGGTGGATTAGGAGGTGCTCCTGGGCTAAGGTCACCACACACCACAATCGGACACCTTGCGCTACAAAGCCCATCTCGGCTATTGAAAGGGGAGCTTCAGATCTCCACACAGCTGACAGCTTTGCAGGGCCTCTTTTCGCCTAGAAAGGACCCAGGAGCTGAACAAAAGCAGTTCTCTCAGGACAAAGCCCACATGGGCCAGGAGAGGTGCTCAGCCCCTGGGGAGCTCTGGGATGGAGCGGGGGACGTGAACCCCTCCTGAAGGGTGGGCACGGCATGGCTGGGCTGTTTCCCTGCCATGGGTTCGAAGCAAACAGCTATATTTAAAGAAAGCCCATTATTTTCTTTTGCAGCCAAGTGTCTCCTGACACATCCAGCAGGTTGCTGGGCTAGGGTATGCTCTTAAAAAGAGCTTTCGATGTCATACAGCTGAATGGAGGGAGGCGGTGGAGCTGGGGGCTGTCACTCGCTGACAGATTTGCTCCACCAAAAAACGTGTCAAGTGTCAAGAAAAGAAACGGCGAGTTGGGGATTTCTTGCGAGCTGTTCCCGGCTTGAGACAGCGTGTGGCGTTGTAAGCACAGGGGAGGGGAGGAAAAAAAATTATGTGTATGTGTATCCCTATCTGGGAATTTCCTAGCGGCTGCCGCTGAAGGAGGCTGGGGACCACTTTACTTATTTATTTTCCTGGCCGGCTCCCACTCGGAGATTAGCGCTCGCGAGTAAGGCGTGCAGCCAGCGGGGCGGCTGGAGACGGCCACGAGTGTTTGTGTTGAACACGCTCCTTGGATGGGGAAAGCATCAGACCCCACGGGGGGAGGAGAAGGTTGTGTGGCTGCGGCGCAGCTCTCATGGGGAGGCTGGCCAAGCAAATCACCCAAATAAAAGTGCTGTGAAAAACTGCTGCAGCTGGCTGGGCTTTGTTTTTTCCTTCCCCCTCACTCTTTTCTTTCCCCCACCTCTGCTCCGACGGGGTCGCTAAGAGGCGGGGGAAGGTCCCCGGGGCTCTGCTCCCATCCCCGCGGGAGCCCCGGCGGGGCGATGAGGACCGCGCAGGGACAGATGGAGCCCGGCGGCAGACACAGGCCACAGAAGGCTCTAGGGCGCTGAGTCTCTGCCCTGGGATGTCTCCCCACCTCGGCACGACTCTTACCTGCTTTGACGGAGCAGTGGATGTGCGCCTTGGACTCGTAGTAGACCCAGTCGAAGCCAGCCTCGACGGCCAGGCGGGCCAGCATGCCGTACTTGCTGCGGTCCCGGTCCGACGTGGTGATGTCCACGGCGCGGCCCTCGTAGTGCAGGGACTCCTCGGAGTGGTGGCCGTCCTCGTCCCAGCCCTCGGTCACCCGCAACTTTACCCCGGGCCACTGGTTCATCACCGAGATCGCCAGAGCGTTCAGCTTGTCCTTGCAGCGCTGCGGGGACACGGGCGGATAGGAAAGGGTCATTGTGGGGGTGCTGCAGCCAGGGGAACACCCCCCCTTCGTTATCGATACCCTCCTGGGCCGCATCCCGCTTCCCTCTCCCGCCAAAGAGGCGGCATTCCTGCCCTCCCCGCCAAACGCGCCCCAGGATGGGCTCAGCCAGGGCTGAGCATCTTCACCTCCGCTGCCAGAGAGGGACGGGGAGGTAGGTGAGGAGGGGGAGAGTGAATCTGGGGACACGGGATGAACAGAGACTCAAACACCACGAAACACAGGGACGGACCTTCTCCCTGCCCTGGCACCTGCTGCGGGGACAGGGGGACCCCCCTCTGCCGGCGCTGGCGATCCAAAGGCACATGCACGGAGCAAATTCCTGCCGCTAAGTGCCCTGTCCCTTCCCGAGAGCAAAGTTTCTGCCCAGAACAAACACTCGCCATATATCTCAGAGACACGGATTCCCCCCGGAATGTCTCTGCGGGTCTTTTCAGCTTAATTCTGTGTTGAAAAGGGTATCAATACATGTTAACAGCCTTTATGTGCTGGAGGGAGGGGTGTTTTTTTTCTCCTCTCCCTTCGCCCATCACTCATTAGAGCCCTCAAAGCTGCATGGGCTGGGAGCATTCACTCTGCTTCAAACATACATCGGCGCTCGCCTACAAAGCCGAGCAAATCCATACAATAATATAGCTCTTAGTGGGAAGATGAAAAGCAAGGGAGGGCCAAGGAGGGAAGTTAAGCAGAGCAGGGATGCTATGCAAGCTAGGAGCCCCTTTGTGTGGAGTGAAACCCTTCCAACTCCGTGGAGAAAATACTGCAGGGTTTTTCATTGACCCTCCAGAGCCACCAGCCTTCCCTGGGCTGAACTGGGCCCAGCAGCACCGGGAGCACGTAGGGATCGAGTAATGAGAGACACAGGACAGGGGAAAGTGAGGAAAAGAGGTGAGCTGAAACCCTGAAAGTTTTAGGGAGATTCCCATCTTAGCCAGACGGGGAATAGACACAGTGGCGACAGGGGAAAAGGACTCTCAGCCCGACAGAAACAGGAAATCAGCACCGAAAGCATTGAAAAGCACTTGACTAAAGGTACAGAGTTAGAAACAGACACGTTGCCAGCTTTTTTCTCCCTTTTTGAGAGGAGAACAACGCAGATGCAGGTGCATCTACCCGACGTTGCTCTCTTGATGCAAAGAGCGATGTGGCTGTAAGCCACGGCGGGATGCAGTAAGCTGCTCTCCCCACACTTTTGCTGGCCTGACTGCTATGTTTGGCCTTCTGCAGGACCATCCTCCCCAGTGTGCTCAATAAACACCACAGAGTCCCCCTTTCACAGCTCCCAGGAACCCAAAGCCCCTCCATTACTCAGACGACGCTACTTTTAGGGACGTAACAAGGTTGCTTAGCAAGGAAGTTTCCATGTGTTCACCAACAGCCATAAAAGTGATTCCAGCAACACACAGGTTGATATAAAGAGATATAAAAGTCCCCGAGAGATATAAAACACAGTCACGAGCTCACTTTGGACTCTCTGGCCTACCGTTTTATGGAGAGAGACGGGTGTTTGGATTTCGGCACCGTTCCCGGCAGCAAAGTGCAGCGGGACAAGGAAGTTGAGTTTGATTTATTTTATTTTTTCCCTCTCTTCCTCTCACACCTGAGTGGATAGATACGCTCCATCACTGATTTACAGGGGAAAGGGGGAGAAGGATCAAACGGCCCAGCTGCCGATAAGGCGACAGCGCTGCGCGACACGGCGATGGCGATGTCGTGCCCCGCACGGGCAGAGCGGGCGCGGGCAGGGACGCGGGCAGCGCCGGGGGGCTCCTCTGGCCGCTCCGGCCCTGCCAGCACCACTCCCCGGCTCCAGGCCAAATAAAGAAGGAGAAACGGCCTCCTAAAGGACTTTTCTCCCTTTTATACTGCCTGAGCTGGATTGTCAGAGTCAAAAGCCGTGAAGCCCAGACTATTTATTAATTCATCGGGTCGTGTGCCACAAATCAAGCCCAATTCTGTTCAGCCACCGTGAAGCTCAGCAGGGCTGCCTCCACTAACGCTTTGTGTGGAGGCAAAGTTGTTCAACAAGCCCTCTCCTGCCAGCTCCTAATCTCTTCACAAATGAATTGCTTGAAGGAAACACTTAACAGGTACCTGTCAGTGTAAACAACCTGGTGGGCTTCCTAAATGCCAAGTTGATCTCTAAATTCCTCACATCACGCACTGGTTGTCTGCCTGCATTACACGAGATTGCTATTTTATTTCATACAAATTCCAGCTTTATCATACTGACCTGGCCTCCTTATCTCTCTCCCCGATCCAGCCAATGGCCGGGGTGGCGGGGGAGGAAAGGGAGGAAGGGGGGAGCCCTTAGCAAACTGCTGGTGTCACCTGCAAAGTTGAGAACCTGACTTACCTACCTCTGTTTGCGTTCTCCCCCACCCTTCTGGAGTTAATATTAACTAGCGACTAATGCATTCGGCAACCACTCTGCAAGTTTAACGATTCTGTCCATGAAAGATCTCTCCATGGTTGAAGGGCTCCCGAGGCCGGAGTTTAAAGGCTGGGATTTAACCAGAGGTTCCCGGCCGAGCGAGAGAGAGGAGAGGAAAGCAAGGCAGGGAGGCCAGCGGCACGAC